GTGACTGCTATGAAAAAACTAAAAATGCAAAAACTCTTGTATTTTGTTAGGTTACTTATGGTTATGGTTAGGGCAGGCTAGGGGTTAAGGTTGTCATAGTTTGCATTAGCATTTTTCCCATTGAAATGAATTAGCGGTCCCCATAAGGATATGTTTACCATACATGCGCGAGCATGTGTGTGTGTGTGTGTGAGTGTGAGTCTGTGGGTGGGTGGCTGGTGGTAAAATTAGCCAAGGGGGGTGGCTGATTTAATACATTTGACTGATCTGGGAGGGGTCCCTGATTGTGGCACGACTCTATGCTACAGCATCAGAGTCTATAGCCTGAACAACAGATGCCTGTCAGGTCCTCAGACGACAGCTTTATTAAACAGTGCATGAGATGATTTGAATGAAAATACCCACAAAAAATGTCAGCTAAATGACTCCTGTCATACAGCCTCTGCATGTGTGTCAGACTCATACTGTAGCAACGAACTGGGCTTTTAATAAATACAGGTCAACAGCAGTTATTCTCCCTTTACTGAACAACATGCAGAACCAGATAACACATCTATACTTTGTGTGCAAATGTTGAGATCATTATTTAAGTATAAACTTTCATGTCTCTCTAATGGGCACATCAGTGTCACTTCATACAGAGGAAACGCGGAGCTTCACACAACAACGCAGCCTAAGACTTTACTGTTCAGACAGAGGTGTGGAGAAGCAGCAGCGACACACATTCAGGTGAGCTGAGTTTTCAAATTCAGTTACTGTTCACTCATCTGCAGTTCTTACTACAAACACTCTTTTGCAAGAATGCATATTCTAACATATATTTTTGCATTTTGCAACTTGGTGTTATGTCTACCTGTATGTTTACCTCGCGTCTGTGTTCCTGTCATTTATGTCATAAATGGCTACTGCAACACAAAAATTTCTCCTTAGGGATAAATAAGATTATTTGAATCTGAATATGAATTGAGTAAATTCATGCTTTTGTGTTTCTGTTAACAGACACTTGACTCCAAAATAATTTATTGTAGTTTTAATTTTGCGCTGATGCTCTTTCTAAAGGGACAAACGCAGTTCTTGGACTTAGAACATCTAGTCTTTTCTCTACAGAGAGAAACCCTGATTTAAGCGCGAGCTTTATGGCACCTAGTAACACAAACTACAGCAGATGTATAGTCTGTCTTTATCATTCATGAAAATCTCTAACTGTCACATGTAAATTCACCTATAAACTGTAAAGTCTCACTTTGTCTCACAGAGAGAAACAAGGGATAATGGCATCAGAGTCAGATTCAGGTGAGACCTGGGTTTTTTAAATTCTCTTTTACTAATTCCTGTTAAAGTCCTGTTAAACACATCCTCTTTATTACTTATTTGGTAATTATTACATAATTCGGGAATTATTATGCCATTGGTCTCCTCAATGTATCTGGTTGGTTTATTAAGGCGTTTCCATGTTGTGTTCTGGAAAACAGAAACAAACAGGAATGCAGTAATTTATCCAGGCCACTGTATCTTTGTATTAGAGCAGAACTCAGTGTAACTGGATCTCAGAACAGTAAGAAAATAAGAAATTTACAAACGAATGGAGGCCATTCGGCCCACCAAGCTCGTCCTTCTAGACTGAGACTGGTGCACTGAGATTAAAATAAACAGATTGAGTTTTCATCATGTGTAATGACACATGCAAAGGCAAAGGAATTTGAGGCTGGAGATGTAGCACTGACACAGGTCCTGACATTAGTTGATGATGAGGGCTTAGATGTTCTACAGTATATCCTCCACACAGCTCAGTAATGAGAATAGTGAGAAGTTGAGCTGGAGTCACGGTTAATCTATGTCACAATCAGTCAGAAACTGAGCCAAACTGACAAATATGCCCAAAATTGCAACTGATTGTTTTTCTTCTATTCATTTGTAATACACGCAGGTTGGAGCAGCAGATCACACAGCATTAAATCACCTCCCGAGATGAGTGACGGTAAGATCTTCTATATCCGCCACACAGCTCAGTAATGAGAATAGCGAGAAGCTGAGCTTAAGTCACAATTAATCTATGTCACAGTCAGTCAGAAAATGAGCCAAACTGACAAATATACCCAAAATTGCAATTGATTGTTTTTCTTCCATTTGTTTGTAATACACGCAGGTTGGAGCAGCAGATCACACAGCATTAAATCACCTCCCGACATGAGTGATGTAAGATCTTCTATGTTCACCACAAAACTCAGTAATGAAGATTGTAGAGATGTAGCTGATATTCTTACAGCCAAGTCACTTTTATTCCAAATGTCTCTATAGGAACTTTTCCATTAAAGTTAAGGAACCTAGTTCCTGGTTTTGAGTTCTTGGGCCATGTTGACCCAGAACTTGGGTAGCTATTGATCCCTTTCGTGTGTTGCCATCCCAGGGTAGAACAGAATCTGTGACCTTTATGCAAAAGGTGGAAGACTCAAAGAGCATGTAATATATACTTCATACAAAATTACACCACAATCCCAAAATAACAGAGGATGATTTGAGTCGTATTGTTAGTTACTGAGGGATCAATCACGGGGACAAAAAATACTGGACAAATTGTGTCCCATGTTGGTTAAAAACGGAACACAGCATTTTATTTATATGTCCTGTGACATGTTTATAATTCATTATTAAGTCTGGCCAGCAGATTGATCTCTCGTCTTCCATAAACTAGAAATGATGTCACGTTATAACACTAATAAGGGCTGGCAAGTTTCACCACTGGAACCACTAATATTAGACAGAAGTACAGTATATTGGCTATCAATCGAATTTTCAGATGCAGAACTATGGGGACGCAAGCAAAAAGGTACTCATTGATGCCTTTAATGTAACTGAGGTACAAAAAAAATCCGTCTGCTCAATTTTTGCTCTACTTCTCTTTTCCCCACATTTCCATGTAACTTTCAAGTTGGCACTGGGGCTTGTGGTTAACCTATAAGCAAAGTTTATCACTATAAGCCCCACCCAGTAGCTCTCGGACAAGCGAAAACTATGTTCTCTGGAGTAGGAACTAAAAAACAGTTCAGGAACTGCCTCCTAAGACTTACAATCGGGCCAGAAGGTCCTGGTTCCTGAAAAAAGGTTCTGATATTTGAAAAAAAAATCCTGCAGTGGGAAATCACCTTATGACATGCAGCCACAATGGCTTGTTTAAAGACACCAGTTCAGCTGCCTGTATGTCACATGCAGCAGAAACAGCAGTGACTAGGGCAAACCAGCACAAACATGAACATGCAGTAAGAGGGGCTCAAATCCCCAGACAGCGCCACCCACTGTGCCACCAGCCACATAGCATTTCATTTATCTGCAAATGTATATTTAAACCTTTGAGGTCCATCTTAGGCTCTTTGCAAGCAGAGATCAGGTCACTGAAATCTGAAGCAGTGCGTTACTAATCTTACTAAAGCATAGCAAAAGTGCTCGCTTCTATAACATTTATTCTGTGATCAAAGCATTGACTGTAAAAAAAAACATGGAGACCTTAATGTCTCTAAAAGGTGAAAACACTACATGTAAAGCGCCCCCTACTGGCTGGCTGTAGTGCCATTATCAGCACCACCCATCCCCATGTGTTTCAGTGGTAAAAGAGGCAATTTTCCATATCATTTTCATGTCTTTCCATCCACAGTGTCTAATTCAAACAGTTCTCTCTACTGCACAGACTCAGGCTCTGAATTTGACAACATGGCTGAGGGCTTTTTGCTTCACTTCCTAAGAACAGAAGGCAGTTCAGGCACGGTGTCCATGTTTTATACAGTCGATGGGTCAAAGTATATTCACAGACGCAAGAGGCTCACACTGAAACATAACAGAACAGAGTTATAACTTTCTCTTTAAATTTTTCAAAGCAAAGGAAAGCTTAATTTTTCAGTAAACTTTGGAAATATAATATTCTAAATGTCCCAGACTGTTTAATGTATTGATCATTTTAAACTCGTATATCTGATGCACGTCACACCCAGGGTGTCCCCCTGCCTTGTGCTGCCTGGGAGGGGCCCTGTCTCCCCTGCAACAATGACCCGCATGTGGATGGATGGATATCGGAAGCAACCTGTGTGTCAGCATCATTCTTCACATCTGCTTTAATCACCAGCATCCTGATGACAAATGTAACTCTGTAAATGTTTGGTTTTGTTTTCAAGGGAGTGAGCTGAGAATTGTGCTACTTGGAAAGACGGGAGCAGGGAAGAGTTCAGCAGGCAACACCATCCTGGGAAGGGAGGCATTTAAGGAGAATTTCTCCCTAGAGTCTTGTACCCAAATGTGCGAGAGACAGGAAGGAACAGTACAGGGTAGAAGTATCACTGTGATTGACACACCTGGCATTTTTGACACATCCATGAAAAAGAAGAAGATGAAGTGCATTTCTCAGTCTGCCCCAGGACCACATGTGTTCCTGCTGGTGATCAGCCTGAGGAGTAGGTTCACAGAGGAGGAGAAGAACGCAGTGCAGTGGGTCCAGAAGAATTTTGGAGAAGAAGCTTCACGGTACATTATGGTGCTGTTCACTGGAGGGGATGATCTGGGTGGCAGACCTGTGAAGGAGACTTTTACATCGAGTGTTTCAGAGCTCATCCGTAAATGTGGTGATAGACACTATGTCTTCAACAACAAGGAGAGTGATGACCCCACTCAGGTTACTGGGCTTCTGCGTAAGATAGAGGAGATGGTGGAGGATAATGGGGGGCAGCATTACACCAATGAGATATTCATGAAGGCACAAGGAAAGCTAATAACAGTGACAAAATGGCTCACAGAGCTAGGAAAGAGACTAATGCAGAGAGTTAAAGACAAAGGAACAATTGCAGTGCTACAGGAAACACTATCAGCAATAAGGCAGATATTAATATCAGCAACAGCATGTATGGTAAAGAAGCCAAAAGAAACAATATGGAAAACCAGTTTAGAAGCAGTTCAAAAGATTAAAGAACCAGCATCAGGAATGACATTAATAGCAGCCCAGTTAACAGAAACAATCATGACAATGAATCTTGAAGATACTGAATCACCAGAAATACCAGGAGTGGAGAAAGTAATTTCATTAAAGGAAGTAGAAATGCAGAGAAATCTAGAGTGTTTAACTGCTATGAAGGAGGATCCAAAAGTGGCATTCGAGAATGTGATAATAGATGTAACAAGATTGATTGCGGCAGCAGCATAGAATTCATGGAGCTTGACCAAGGATTCATACTCTGAATTAATTCATTAATAAATCTAGCTGGATAAATAATTCAAAGAAAAATACAAAAATGCTTTGCATAAAATGAGAAAAGCTAAGAAACAGTAGAGCTCTTGCATTTGCTCTATTAAACTTGATTACTCGAATATTAAAAATAATTTTCCTTCTGGATTATTCAGCAACATGGCAGAAGAAGATGGCAAAGGGTCCAAATAAAATAATCTCTGCCTGATGCACGCTCTGCCACAATGGGAAATATATCCATGGAATCGCTCCCTGATTGCCATACGAAATGATATCCCAGATATCAAACATATGTTGAAATGACATTGATTCCATATTAAACAACTTTGGTCTTCAATGTTGATTTAGCATTGATCTTGTATGTTGAAAAGGCCATCTATCCAACATTGAAAAATCAAACATTTGTGATGAGGATTCAACGTTGTTTCAACACTTCTTAGGCAACTTCTTCATCCATTGATTTACAGTTTTTCCCAATCATTTTCACACTTGTCTCAATACCATGCCCACTTTTTCAAAACACTTAACACAGTGGGCTGTACACAGTGGGCTGTACACAATACACAAATTACTGTCATGTTGCATTGTAAAAATAAAATAAACAAGAGCTACTTTTGCATGTGAAAATTGTAATACCAACCAATTCTGAAATGCTGCAATATATTTCATTAGAAATCATGTAAGTGTTGCTGTTTCTTTTTTGCAGTATGTAAATATTTCATTCCTAGCAGAAAATACCAATCCAAAGATGGCCCCTTTTGCAGGGACGGATTATGGGTTGTGTGGGCCCCTGGGCAAAACGCCAAAAAAAAAAAAAAAAAACTCCAGCATTGTCTGGGATGGCTAGTTGCTACGTAAATGACTACATGTGTACCGTGTCCAGCTGAACCATGCCAGAATCCACCTGTGTACCATATCCCCTTACAGAACGGAGAGATCAAGGGTGTAGTGGTAAAATATGAGGTGGGTGAACTACGAATTCTGTGATCACATTTTGTGCATAAACTATACTATGATGTGCATTTAAA